GTCTGACACTGGCTTATCACATTTCTTTTCCTTTTCTTGTAGGTATTTTTGAAGTGCTTGTGAAAGTTTGGACAGCACTATTTAAGCCCTCTGCTTACTCACCTATCACGAAGAGCAAGGCAGGTTGAACTCCCCAGGCCTAGAGATATCATGGGCCATTTTATCCTTGGCCTCTTTTATTATTAATCCTTTGTGTGTGTTGTGGCTACTTGTCTGATAGGAAACTGGGATGAAACCATCAACTAATTTCACATTAGCTAGCAAATAGCCTGTTCTCCAGCTTATAGCACTTCTAAATGCTCAGGTCTTAGTCCTGCTTTTGAGATATTTGGACATATGTTCATTTGTTTCTATGTAGCAGATAAACATGGTTTATTATAGGTAGGAGTGTGTGTGTGTACATGGCTAGTAACTGATTGAATACGGTATTTGGAAGTGCATTGGTATTTCTGAAGGCAGGATCGTATTAGTGGAGGAATGGTGTCTTCTGAAAGTGGGTAGGTAAAACTAATACACAGTATTTCACTCTGATCCAGTTTGCAGCCACAATTAAAGGTTATACGAACTAAAAATGTGGTGAGCAAAGCCAAGTCTGCCTACATACCTCTGGTGTCCTCAGTGGATAAAACCCACTATTGGGAAAGGATAGCATGGTTTTCAATGTAATACAAATGATCCCTGCTCCTGTAGGTTCTCCCTTGTAACTTAATAGCAATGCCCCACTCACTGGAGCCTAGATCGTTACATCTTTTAATTCTGGTTCCATTTATCAAACCAGTCTCGGGGGGAGGACTTGAATTATGCAATGGATTTTTAAAGTCCCTTAAAAGAAAAAGTTACCTTGGGCAACTTCTGCTTTCAGTTATGTCAATACCACCCCATTGGCTCCAGGTGAGTAACCTAGGGATAAATGAGGGTAGAATGTCCCCAAATCTTCTTCATCATTATCAGTTTGGTTTCTGATCATTCATAGCTCAAACCATTGTGCCCATACCATTCAGAGTCCCACTGAAGTGGCTCTTGATGCAAGCCAAGCCAAAGATAACTTGACATCTTTCATCTGATATAGGCAGCACACATTGGTTGCCTAACACTTTTTGCATCAAAACCCTCTGTCTTCAATTGCTTATTTTCTTGAAACCTTTGGGTCTGAAATTGTCCATGTCTGATGTTTGCTTTGTGTGTATTGATTGATTGATTGATTGATTGGGGGAATAAAACCAGTAAATGCTGTCAATGTTAAAAATGCAACCTAATTTCTTCAGCAAATGAGGCAAGGATCCTATGGATAACAGCATAATTCACCGCACAAACTTCTCGCATCCTGTGGAAAAAACAGCATTTTAGCATGTGATTAAAGACTGTATCATAATGCATAATTCATAAAGGGGCAAGGTTAAGGTTGCATGAGCAACCTTTAATTCTGGCATTGTCTAACTTCTGAGTGCTTCACTGTGCAACCTTGGTGATGGTCTTTTAACATAGCTGTTCCATATGGAATTTCTATATAAATGAAAATAGTGACATTTTGTAAAATGCCTCTTGACTATGACTGACTTGTGTTCTTTTGTTTAGTAAATTTCTTTGCAAGGGTAAAGGGATACAAAGTAGTTATTAAAAACATAGATAAACATTTTCCAGTGCTTAAAATCTAAACTGAAATATAGTTTATGAGCTGAGAATTCAACTTTTTTTTCTATTTAGAATTCATTAGTAGTTCTAACAAAAGTGTTTAGGGGCTTATTTGCCTCTCATTTGCACTGCTTTTACACAGTTCTGATTCCACTAGGCCAGATCCTCAGCTGATATAAATTGGCATAGCTCCACTGAAGTCAATGAAATCAGTGAAGTCAGTGATTTGCTACTGCTGAAATTTGACCCATTGTCTTCAGCTGATTCACTCCTGATGTGCACTGATTGAAGTGGGAGGAGAATCAGGCTCTTAATATTTGTTACTTACCAATGTATCATTGTCTTCTGCTGTGTAGGTGGGTGGGTCAGAGAGTCTCTATTTTGATAGCTGTATACCCGATAATGTCACGGCAAACCTGGTGGCTGAACTTTGTGACTTTGTCCTCACCCATAACTATTTCACATTTGGGGACAATGTATACCTTCAAATCAGCGGCACTGCTATGCGTACCCGCATGGTCCCAGAGTATGCCAACATTTTTATGGCTGACTTAGAACAACGCTTCCTCAGCTCTCGTCCCCTAATGCCCCTACTCTACTTGTGCTACATTAATGACATCTTCATCATCTGGACCCATGGAAAAGAAGCCCTTGAGGAATTCCACCCTGATTTCAACAATTTCCATCCCACCATCAACCTCAGCCTGGACCAGTCCACACAAGAGATCCACTTCCTGGACACTACAGCTGTAATAAGCGATGGTCACATAAACACCACCCTCTACCGGAAACCTACTGACCGCTATTCCTACCTGCATGCTGCCAGCTTTCACCCAGACCACACCACACGATCCATAGTCTACAGCCAAGCTCTACGATACAACTGCATTTGCTCCAACCCCTCAGACAGAGACAAACACCTACAAGATCTCTATCAAGCGTTCTTACAACTACAATACCCACCTGCTGAAGTGAAGAAACAGATTGACAGAGCCAGAAGAGTACCCAGAAGTCACCTACTACAGGACAGGCCCAACAAAGAAAATAACAGAACGCCACTAGCCATCACCTTCAGCCCCCAACTAAAACCTCTCCAGCGCATCATCAAGGATCTACAACCTATCCTGAAGGATGACCCATCACTCTCACAGATCTTGGGAGACAGGCCAGTCCTTGCTTATAGACAGCCCCCCAACCTGAAGCAAATACTCACCAGCAACCACATACCACACAACGAAACCACTAACCCAGGAACCTATCCTTGCAACAAAGCCCGTTGCCAAGTGTGTCCACATATCTATTCAGGGGACACCATCATAGGGCCTAATCACATCAGCCACATTATCAGAGGCTCGTTCACCTGCACATCTACCAATGTGATATATACCATCATGTGCCAGCAATGCCCCTCTGCCATGTACATTGGTCAAACCGGACAGTCTCTACGTAAAAGAATAAATGGACACAAATCAGACGTCAAGAATTATAACATTTAGAAACCAGTCGGAGAACACTTCAATCTCTTTGATCACTTGATTACAGACCTAAACGTCGCAATTCTTCAGCAAAAAAACTTCAGAAACAGACTCCAATGAGAGACTGCTGAATTGGAATTAATTTACAAACTGGACACCATTAACTTAGGCTTGAATAAAGACTGGGAGTGGATGGATCATTACACAAAGTAAAGCTATTTCCTCATGTTTATCCCCACCACCACCGTTCCTCAGACGTTCTTGTCAACTGCTGGAAATGGCCCATCTTGATTATCACTACAAAAGGTTCCTCCCTCCCCCACCCCCCCGCTCTCCCGCTGGTAATAGCTCATCTTAAGTGATCACTTTCCTTACAGTGTGCATGATAAACACCCATTTTTTCATGTTCTGTGTGTATATAAATCTCCTCACTGTATTTTCCACTGAATGCATCCGATGAAGTAAGCTGTAACTCATGAAACCTTGTGCTCAAATAAATTTGTTAGTCTCTAAGGTGCCACAAGTACTCCATTTCTTTTTGTGGATACAGACTAACACGGCTGCTACTCTGAAACCTAACAAATCATTGTGTTCGTTTCCTTGCAAAAGAGTCCCATACCTGACATTCTGTACTCATATAAAGCATTGCTAACAAACAGGCTATGCTGGATATAGTTTCCTTGCAGCTTTAGAGAAGGGCTTGTGGAAATCAGAGTTTCACTTTGTACCCCTAAAATGGAAGAAGACTGGACTGTGGCAAAAAGCATGCAGTCTGGATTAAGTTAAAGGTGTGGAGGAGATGCTAGGGAGGGTGATATGTGAGGGGTTGAGGTTGAAAGAGCAGTCTAGGCTAATAATACAATTCAAAACAATAAAGCAAGGCAATGTCGGGGGTGATCTCATGTCCTTCCTTTCTTTGAAATATAATTTGTTTATTGCATGAGTTCCTTACCTATGGATGCCATTACAAACCGTGGCTCCAATCCTGCAATCAGATCCATGAGGAAGGGTCTTGAACTCAATGGATTTCTGAGCAGGTGCATGGATCCTCCCTCAGGCTCAAAGCCTACATGTACTGTAATACTTTTGTCATTCAGCTTTCTGTGTGTTTTCATGCTGCAGTAATCTGGATATGGCAATAGGAAGTAGCAGTATAATGCATTAGTGTCATACAGTCACCTTTTTTATGTTTGTTATGAGTCAGGGAGATGTAATTCAGGTGTCTTAAAACCGTTAGGAAAACAAAAACAAACCAAGCCTAGTGCTGCTTAAAACAAGCCACAGGAGGATGTTCATAGAGTTACAAGGCCAAAGGCAGAGCACTTTCAGCTACCTGAGAAATATACCATTATGTGTATATTGGTGTAACTGATCTCTATTAGAGTATGGTTCATTAGCATTAAATCTCTTTTTCAAAAACATGTAAAAAGCATGGGGGACACATAGCAAAATATCGGCCTACTAAGAATGACTTTTCATGGTAGAGGGAAAAGTGAAAATAATAGAAGAGTACATCTTTCTTTTGCAAATTTCCACATCGTTTTGTGGCCAAACAGCTACTTTCAGAGAGTTCAGTGGCAGACGACATACTGATAGCTGTTGAAAGGGCAGTGTGGTAATTTGAAGGATGGTTCATTTGAAACTGTCACTTTTCCTCTTCCACCACTTCCCTTGGTCTGGCCCAGCTGCTTTTTAATTTTGATTGTTTTCTTAAACCACTTAAATTAGGTGAAAACTTTAACTTCTATCTAGCTATTTATTTATTTATTTATTTTTTAATCTTTTCCTGCTATTCCTCCCAAATTAAGTAGGTGCTTGAGTGCTCTCCTGAACTTGGACCTAAGTTTTCCTGCTACCCATTTAAAATAATGAGTAGCATTCTTCTCTCCACAGTGCAGTCACTGTCCTGAACTGATGGAAGTTTGAGGACGGCTGTGACATCATTAAGAAGGCCGAAGAAGCCAATCCCAACATGCCTTTGGACATTCCATTGATCAAAGCCTGACTTCATTAAAACGTGATGGGGGAAAAAGAAAAAGGCAGTATCAATTAAAAGTTAGCAATATGACCGGTAGGTTTCTGAGATCATATCCTGGCCTATTTCAATGCCATTAGCCAGTATATTTGTTGAACTAAGCAAATCAATAAGTTTATACTATCACAGTGGAATATTCATGTTTATAAATGCAGAGGAACATAGCATTCAGTTGCTGTTACTGAACTCTTGAATCCCTAAACTTAAGGGACCCAGTAACCCTATTTGCAGATTTTTAAGGCCTGAGGAACCATTTTGACTGAATTAAATGCAGTTAATAGTGATGATGACAGTTTGCACCATTCATCAAAATATGTTTGTGGAAATAAGTGAAAAACAAAAGTGTTTTATCTTATTGCATTTCAGGTCTGCCAGTCATGAAACGGATTCTGCTGGTGATTTTCCTGGCTGCTGCTGTTATGTATGGTATACTTCTGTGGAAGACAAATGTCTATTTGTAAGTTTAATTTCTGCTGGGATGATGGTGGGATCCATGAAGCGATTTAGGTATTACAATGCTCTGGCCTTGGCTACCCTGGCGAGTTACAGCGCAATAAAACTGCCCAGAGAACTGTACCTCACTCCCTGTCCACAATGACGAGGCATGTACAGCGCTGCTGGTACTCCACCTCCCCAAGAGGATTAACAGCTGTTGCGCATTGGCTGAGATGCTCCAGTGTAAACGGGGAGTAACGTTATTACGCACTGATTGACCTCCGGAAACTCCCCATAACCCTTTTAACTGAAGCGTCCTCTCTTGTTTTGTTGTGAACTCTGGACGCGGAAGAGCCGTTTCAAAGCTCCGTTTCGGGGGGCTGCTTATCAAAAAAACAAGCACAGCTACTGTTTGCTTTGAATGAGTGAGAGGCAGGCAGGGGGGCTCCGTTGGAGTGCCAACAGCTAATGTTTGCTTGAAGAGAGAGGTGGGGGGTGGGGTTGGGATCCGTTTTGGGGAATGGCTGCTTATCTCGCCTATGAGAAAAAAAGAAATAGCTGCTGTTTGCTTTCAGTGAGTGAGAGAGAGAGAGAGGCGGGGTAGGGAGGGGGGTCTGTACTTACAAGACAACTCGCTGACACACACTCAGCACCCCAAAACCCCACGCTCCCTGTCACACTCCACCCCACTCCCCCCATTGGAAAAGCACGTTTCGGCCACTTGAATGCTGGGATAGCTACCCATAATGCACTGCTCCCAATGCAACTGCAAATGCTGCAAACGTGGCCATGACAGTGCGCTGTCAGCTGTCAGTGTGGACAGACTGCAGCGCTTTCCGTACTCAGCTGTACGAAGGCAGGTTTAACTCACAGCGCTGTACATCTGTAAGTGTAGCCAAGGCCTTAGTGTCACAGCACCTAACTTTTAACTCTCCTAGAAAATCACAGGAACAACACTGTGATCTACAAAGTTTGAGTTAAGCATCTAGGTGCCCTTTACAATGAATGGGGGGAGATCCACAGAAGACTGCACGCTTGATGTCGAGTTGCCTAAGCTAGCCAATAGGAGATGCTGACCAAAAGGATGTGCTAAGCCCTGTCCCTCTCATGAAGATAGGCAACTCCCTGCAGCCTGGACATAGATGACTATTTCTTCTTGCAATCCATTAATAGGAACCCAGTATCTGGACTCAGGTGGCTTAGGTGATTTAATTGCTTCTTGCTGGAATGAATTAGGTGCCTGCCTACTTCCAAACAAAAGGGCCAGAGGAGAAAGTGGTGGTGCCCACCTAAAAACATTTTGCCCAGTGGTTAAAGCACTTCCTGGAAAGTGGCAGAGACAGGTAAAAAATTAATAATCTGAATAAGTGTATGTCAAGCTATATAATTTCTTAAATGTGTATAGATATAGTGTATCCTCCTGGTTAATATAAAGAAGTAACAAATTGGGTGACTGGGCAACCCAAAATGGCAGATGAAATTCAATGTTGATAAATGCAAAGTAACACACATTGGAAAACATAATCCCAACTATACATATAAAATGATGGGGTCTAAATTAGCTGTTACCACTCAAGAAAGAGATCTTGGAGTCATTGTGGAAAGTTCTCTGAAAACATCCATTCAGTGTGCAGTGGCAGTCAAAAATGCGAACAGAATGCTGGGAATCATTAAGAAAGGGATAGATAATAAGACAGAAAATATCATATTGCCTCTATATAAATCAATGGTACGCCCACATCTTGAATACTGCATGCAGATGTGGACGCCCCATCTCAAAAAAGATATATTGGAATTGGAAAAGGTATAGAAAAGGGCAACAAATGATTAGAGGTATGGAACAGCTTCTGTTTGAGGAGAGATTAATAAGACTGGGACTTTTCAGCTGGGAAAAGAGATGACTGAGGGGTGGATATGATAGAGGTCTAGAAAATCATGACTGGTGTGGAGAAAGAAAATAAGGAATTGTTATTTACTCCTTCTCATAACACAAGAACTAGGGGTCACCAAATGAAATTAATAGGCAGCAGGTTTAAAATAAACAAAAGGAAGTATTTCTTCACACAAAGTGCAGTCAGTCTGTGCCAGAGGATGTTGTGAAGGCCAAGACTGTAACAGGGTTCAAAAAAGATCTAGATAAATTCATGGAGGATAGCTCCATCAATGGCTATTAGCCAAAATGAACAGAGATGTAAAACCATGCTCTGAAGCATCCCTAGCCTTTGTATGCCAGAAACTGGGAATGGGCGACGGGGGATGGATCCATAGGCGCCAACTTCTCCTGGTGCTGGTGGGTGCTCGTGGCCCCTCTGCCCCAAGCCCACCTCTGCCCTGCCCCCTCCCGCCCATGCCCTGGTCCTGTTCCAACCCCTTCCCCAAATCCTGGCCCTACCTCTTCCACACCTCCTCCCCTGAGTGCGCCGCGTTCCTGCTCCCCCCCGCCCCCACAGCATGTTACTCCGCAAAACAGCTGTTTCACTGCAGCAAGCACTGGGAGGAGAAGCGGGGATGGTGTGCTCAGGGGAGGAGGTAGAGGCGAGCTGGGGTGGGGGGCGGGGCAGGGAGCTTGGTTGTCGGTGGGTGCAGAGCACCCACCAATTTTTCCCCATGGGTGCTCCAGCCCCGGAGCACCCATGGAGCCTGTGCCTATGCATGGATCACTTGATGATTACCTGTTCTGTTCATTCCCTCTGAAACACCTGGCATTGGCCACTATCGGAAGACAGGATACTGGGCTAGATGGACCTTTGGTCTGACCCAGTATGGATGTTCTTATGTTCTTAAATTTAGTGTAAATGCTCTATTTAGTTGCAAATCAAAAAAATGTTTTAATAGTTACCAACTAATGAAAATCAACCTTTAATGGAAAATAACTAAGAAGTACACATGCAAAATAAGATTTAAATCAATTATTTTAATCAAGTTTCCTGCTTGCTGATTTAAAGCATGATTAAAACTGGTGATCTAAATCACTTTGACTTAAATCAATCCACCTTGATTTAAAGACACTTCCTTCTGAAGGATTAGATTTGATGGTCTTTAGTTTCCACCTACATTAAACACTATTACGTGTCATTTTGTCACAAATAAGGCCAAATTGTCAAAGCCTGAAGAGCTGCCTACATGTGAAAAACTCACACATGCATGTGTACAAACACCTCAGGTAACTGGGTGCATGAGTTTATTGTGGAAGCAAACACCTATAATTAAGTTTCAAGCACAAATGTGGGTGTGCGCTCCAGAACTGTGGCCGCACATAGCCTTCCACTTCTATTTAAGTCTGATCTGCCAGATGGTGTTTATGTGGTTTGTGCTATAAAACCATGAACTCAGTGGTTAATATTTTTTTTAAACCCATATAGTATTTCTCTTAGTTTGGTTTGTTAGAAGTGCTATGTGGCAACTTGAAGTCAGAACATCATTTTGCATTTGATTATGCAACTGTAAATGGGTGGTTTCACCTGCCTGCTCCTAACACAGCACAAACACAACAGATATTGCAGAAAGTGAACCCCACTTTCATTCCTGGGCTTTGCCTTCTTAAATAAACTAAGGCAGAAATGTGCTTATGAATGTAAACATTAGGCCTGAACCCACAAAGATATTTAGGTGCCTAAGTCCCATTTTTAAGCACCACTGTGCTCCACAAAACCCACTCTCTGCTGCTGCCTAACCCTGTAGGCACCTAAACTCATTTGGTGCATAAGATTTGCAGTAAAAGTTCTTTAGACACCCATGTTTCTATCTCTGAGCATGCACACTGCTGCTTCACTCTAGGCATCCGGACACCTCTCTCCCACTTACGATCCAGTATGATCCACAAACAAGGGGAAGACAGGTGGCAGAACGCCTATCTAGCCGGCCAGACCTGAACTGATAAGCATGCTCAGAGACCACCTAGCTCTATACCAAACAATTTGAGGAAGGGGAAAGGACCTCCCAGTCCAGTGGTTAGTTACTCACCCAAGATGTGGGAGACCCCTGCTTCAAGTCCCCCCACTGCCTGATAAAGAGTGGGGATTTGAACAGGGGTCTGTCTGTGTTGCCTCTCAGGTGAGTGTTCTAACCACTGGGCTGTGGACAATTCTGATGTGAATCTTCCCAATCTCTCCTGTTTGAAGTTGTTCCACTGTAAGGAAATAATTTAAATATTAATTGGGCTAGAGAGAGACTCACTCTGTAATCCAGTGGCTCTAGACCACTCACCTGAGAGATGGCAGATCCTTGTTCAAATCCCTTGTTTTTATCAGGCAGAGTGGGGAGATTTGAACCAGGCGTCTTCCACATCCCAGATGAGTACCTTAATCACTGAGCTAAAGGAAGAAAGCGAGGTCCTCTCCTCCCTCCATTTTACATGGACTTGGTCAGATGCTTAATTCATTCTCTCAAGAAATGTCTTAGGCATGTAAGCCACCGAACTCCAGAAGAGGGTTTCCCGGTTGTTGATCACTAGCAGAGATAGGTGCCTCCCTGCAGCCTGGATTTAGTTGCCTATCTCCAGGAGAGGAGGAGGGCTAGGACACACTCTCTTGTCAGCATCTCCCATTGACTAGCTTAGGTGGCACCACGCCTAGCATGTTGGCTTATGTGGAATGCATTCTAAGACACCTATCTCTCCCCATTCATTGTATAGGGAGCCGAGGTGCCTAGCTTGCATTTTATGGATCCCATTGTTCCGGTGATTTTATTTTTTTTTCTAGACACCTAAAAGTTAGGCATTGCAATGCTCAGTATTGCAAATGCCTAAGCCCTTTCATGGATCCAGGCCTTCTCCCTCAAGCTTTATTCTGAATGGGCTGATTTCTCCATGCAGGATTTCCTCCTCCCCTCCCCATGCACTCTATCTTCTCACAGAAGAACTCAATGCTTATGTTTTTAAGTAGAACTAGTAAGACCCCACTTGGTGTGGCTATCAGGGTGAGTGAGCAAAAAGAGTTATGTATCTCCACGCAGGGCCCTAACACCTGATCTCCAGTTGTAGCAGTTTTAATAACTACTAGGTAATGAAGTTAGGTATCTTGGAGCAGCACTGAATGATAAAAATCTTACCAGTAAGAAGCATGGTATTAACTAGTAAAATTAATGTGAAAGCAACCAGAAGATTTACTTGCAAACCTTTATTTGGTCCTACATTTGTGTTTTATTCATTGGTGGGATCTATTGACATCAGTAGAACTAAAAATCAATGCATTGAACTTGATTGTCAAAGTTTCCCACCCTGTCACTGCCGCCTCCTTTAGTTGCCTGTTCAATTTATATTAATTCTTTTCTTTTAGGCTGCCGCCTACAGCTATACGAAGAAAAACTGGACTAGAAACGTGTAAAGTGGAGCCACCATTTGCGTCTTTATTGAAGTAAGTCCAAATGAGGATGCGCTAACTGAAGAGAGATTTTAGTTATCAACACATTTTGACCATTAATATTTTTCATCTTAACTACCCGATCAGATGTGACCCTCAGGGTCAGTTTCCTGAGTATGCATGAGCTGCTTTGTGCCACTCTGTCCACACAGAGCGGCTGTGTGGTCACTTTACGTCACCAGGGCAGCACAAAGCAGCCAGAACATACTTATGAATCTGTAGTGAATAAAAAATTATATTTAATTATTTAATAATAGTGAATTTATTTCCATAATGGAGACACACAATATAACAGCTTTTCATGCTTGTACAGTAAATAAAGCCCTTGTTTCTAGAACTCAGTCATTCAGGGGCTTCCTCTGATTTTTCAGGGATCTGTGCTTCCACAGTTGCTTTCAGCATCTCTAAAAATCAAGCTATGAAACTGTAAACCTATCACACGCCAATCAATAGGCTAAAGCCATGGGTCCGATTCTACCTTCACTGAAGGCAGTGCGGTTGCATGGCTATAACTGAGGAGACAGAATTTTACTTGGGATGTTACTCAGTCAGTAATCCAGGGAGATTTTTGTGCATTTAGGGCCTGATCCAAAGCTCACTGAAGTTAGGGGGAATATCACTGTTGACTTGAGTGGGTATTGATATGGGCTCTAAAAGCCCAACATTTGGAGGTGCTTTCTTAACATTCTGTGGCAATACCTACAACTCAGTGGAATTGTGTCTAGTTCAAAGGCCAAAAAATGTGCTCATCCAATCAGGAAACAGGATTAGTTACATGGTATTATTTCTAACTACCACAGCTCAAATTTGTGAAAATGGACTTGAGTACACATGGTGAATGGTCTGATCAATCCATAGAGTTAAGAATGAAATAAAATTTGTTGGGTAAATTTTGAACAACAAATACATTTGGGGAAATTATCTGCCTACGGACACCATATGCATAGAAAATACTGGATGAATTTAATCTAAACGATAAATCTCAGCTCAATTTAGGACTGAATGAATAAGGACCTCAAGACTCGGCTGTATGTTTCTGTTTAGTTTGTTTTTTAATGGAAGTATACTTTTATTCTTGAAACTCACATCACATTGAAGATGGAGCTCCAACTTATTCTGGAAATCAATGCATCAAATGAGTCAAAATTAATTCCACCTTTAATGAAATATGTGAGTTTTAATGTCTGTATTTCCATGAACTAAAAAAGTGGGTTACTGATGGTTTACTTTCCATCTCTCCTTGGTGCACAAGGAATGTTTGATTAGCCTCATCCTCAGGCATAACACAACAGCTTCTACTCCATTTAAGGAAGCAAAAGTGCAGGTATTCTGGTTTTATTGTAATTTGAGAGGTAAAAGGGAAGAAGAATTAAATTACTCCTCAGAGAATTCTGCACTAAAAAATTAAAAATTATGCGCAGAATATTTTAAACTTCTGCAAAATTCTGCAAATTTTATTTGTCAATAAATAAATGTGGCTCCAGCATGGCAGTGAGGAGCACAGGCCACTGGCTTCACTGAAGTGGGAGATCACCCTGAAGCCCCCATCTCCCCCGGTACAGGGACTAGGCAGTGAGGCTGCACCTGACCCTGACATGGTGCAAGGGCTGGGCCTGCCCCAGAAACACCCCAGGGCCCTGCCCCTCTGTGCCAGGTGCACCAAGTGTGGCTGGGCAGGCTCAGCCCAGCAGAATCCAAGTGTGGAGGGGCTTAGAGTGGGGGGATCCAGGTGTGGGGTGAGAGGTTTCTGTGTGGGACAATCTGGGTGCAGGGGGCTCAGTGGGAGATCTGGATGCACAGGGACTCATTGTGGGGTTCTGGGTGGAGGGGCAATGAGACTATGCAGGGGATCCAGGTGAAGGTGGTTGGGGCTCAGCAGAGGGGGTCTGGGTGTGGGGGGCTCTGTGGAGAGGTCAGGTGCTGGGGGAGTGGGGCTTGATGGGGTGGGGCTCCAGGTGCAGCTGCTTGGGGATCAGTGAGGTGGGGGTCTGAGTGTGGGGGGCTCGTCGGAGGGATCCATGTGTAGGGGGGTAGGGCTTGTCAGGGTGAGGGTTTGATGGGCCTGCGTAATGGGGGAGCCCCAGCTGCTGCCAAGGGGATGCTACATGCCAGGCTCCTGCTTCTCCCCACGATTCCCCTATCCCCTTTTCTTCTCCGTCTCCCTCCCTTCACTCCCACATTCCCCTCCCCCGCTCTATTCCACCCCCACCCCTTCCTGACCCACTGCCTCTTCCCCCTCTACCCCCTCACCTCCCCTTCCCCAGACCCACTGCCTGCACTCACTGTTGTGGCTTCCCTTTGCTTCCCTGCTGTTTTCTGCAGGGAAGCACAGGAATCGGGGGGTTGGGGGGTGTCAGAGGTGTTTTCTGCAGGTGTGCAGTCACGCAGAATTCCCCTAGGAGTAGAATTAGGATGCTGAGCCAGATCCTGGGCTGGGGTAAATTATCATAGCTCCACTTTGGAGCTGATTTACAAGGGCCAGATCCTCCACTTATGTCACTTGTTAGATTGGAGGGATGAAAAGATTTTTAACCTTATGGAACTAGGCACTGGAAAGAAACCAGGTGCATTCACATCACAGAGTGAAGAATTAAGGTCCACTTTGGAGGGAGTAAGCTCCATCTGCCCCCGAACAGTAGGGCTTATTCCTAAAGCGATGACATAATATTGACTTGTAGGGTTTGGTATCATATCCAGGTTGGTCTCTTTATTTCAGATAAAATAACTTATATCCATAGTTTTCTTTTGTTGTTAGTATACTGTCAAATGCTTTATTAACATTAAAAATATTTGATGTTTGTTTTAGGAAGTAGCAATATTGACTCATTAAACAATGATGGAAGTATTTATTCTGCAGAACATAAAAGCAAGCCCTGAACTAACAAGTCCCAACGAACACTGCTCTGCCTATGTGTCCTTACAGCTGTTACACTAGGCTCCCTCCTTATGACAGTATTCACCAATCATTTCTCCATTGTCATTTTAATAATTTGTTGCTCTTTGAATGATGGTCCCTGTTGCGTTCCACTGAGAGTTTATGCATGCGCCTAGAGCCGGAGAATTTGAAGGTTGAATGGTCCGCTCCTTCACCCTTGCTTCGCTTCATGGTTTCCTCCAAGGTGATAAAGGGCAGGGTGGACTGACCGTGCCTCCAGTTTCTTCTCATTGCTGTATGGTCCAGGTCAGAGCTGCTAGTGTTTTGTAGTCTGCGATGCACTTAATTAATAAATAAATAAATAAATAAACAAAGAGTTTTACAATTGCATATAGTTAGTTTTATTCTGGTTTTTGCTGTTTTTAGTGTAGTTTAGTGTATAGTCATCATTTCTAAGAGATAAGAGACTTTGGGGAATCCACTTACCAGTGCCGTACCCACGCCACACCCATGCCTAGGTATTGGATTATGCTGAAGATGACTGGGTTCAAGATCTGCGCCTCCTTTCCATGTTTCTTCTCAGTTAGCAACAAGCACCAATACTGCCTCTACTTACTGCTTGGGAGAAGCCCACATTTCATCAAGGTGCAGTATCTGCCTGTCCTTCCCAAGCCATACCTGGTTCTCTGCCTCAAGAAGCACCTCATGGAGGTTGCCATGAGGTTACAGTCAGATCCAGGCTGGGGTACGCCCCCCGTGCATCGGCCTGAGAATCCTAGGAGCATGCCTCTGACCATGAAGACTGAGTCTTGTTTCGATGGTACCAGTATTACGGACCCCATGCTGGGGCCTTGTCAGAAGGCAAGGAAGCATGCACATAAGCATGGCATGGTAAGTCTTCCTCCATGCCCCTAAGGATGATGCACCTTACATGAGTTCCAGCCATGGAGAAATGGTGTGTTCCAAGGCTTGCAAGCAAGACAAGAAATCACACAGATCAGTGGTACCAAGCACTGAGCCACGCATGCCTTCCAAGTCGGCTCCCCTTAACTCAAGGGAACCGTCGATTTCAAGACAGTCCTCTGCTCCGGTTCTGGCTACAGGGAGGTTGGAAATGACGCCAGAGCAACATGAACTCTTCGCCCTGGGGGAACCAAGATCTCCATGCCTTACTCTGCTGCCTGTGCCTATTGAGGTACGATCTCCAACCCAGGGCTTACGTCGGTCAACTTACACTTCCACCTATTTGCCTACAGTTTATATGGTCCACCAGCTCCAATGGAACCAACATGGGAACTGGGATCCGAGTTTTCATCATTGGAGGATTCAGATGAAGTGCAAAGGCCACTCATCTCCTACCACCAATACAAGTGTCCTAAGGGACCACCAGCTTCGTGGCGGTACCCTACTTTCCCCCAACAGAGGAGCCATTGGTATCTCACTCCATGGGGCTCTCTGCAGCATCCGCCGGATGCATCCTGTTGGCCATATTGGGGGTCCTGGCCTCAATGTCCTCCTTTGTAGCCTTCCCATTCAGCAAGAGAGGGTTCACCCCTATCCCTGCTTGGGGCACCCTCAAGTAGGTGTTTGGAAACAGTTTTGGAGGATGAGCCACTCAGGCCAGTTCTGACAGTATTGAACAGGAATGATTCCCTTCATCCTCTCCAGATGCTGCTGTGACCTCAGCTTCTCCCACACCTGCCAGTTCCAGGATTTCCTACACAGGGTGTCTGAGGACCTTCATATTCTACTGGAAGAGGTACAAGACAAGAAGCATTAGCTTCTGGACATCCTTCATGCCTTGGTACTGACAGAATTGCTCTACCTACCAATCAATGATGCCATTCTTCAGCTGGCTCGAACTGTTTGGCGTACCCTGACCATTTACACACCTAACCCAAAGGGGGCAGAAAAAAGGTATTACGTACCAGATAAGAGGTCTGGGTTTTTATTCTCCCACCTCCCACTCAATTCCCTCATGGGCCAAGTGGCAGCACCCACTCTCCACTCCGGCAGACAAGGAGGCCAATGGCTGGACCTTTTGGGTTGCAACGTTTTCTCGTTGGCTAGCCTCCTATTTTGGATCTCGAACTACCAGGTCTTATTGGCCAAATATGATTTTCTCAGTAAATTGGAGAACTTTACTGGCAAAGATTGAGCCCATTACCAGGCTATCCTGGATGAGGGCAAACTTGTCACAGATTGAACAGATGTCAAGAACAGCGCTTCAATCTGCTGTAAATGCAGTGGATATCTCTTCGCGCACAATGGCTATGGAAATGGTTGTGCAGAGAGAATTGTGGCTGCATTCATCTGATTTCCCCAGGGAGGTACAAAATACCATAGAGGACCTCCCTTTTAATGAGTCTCCCCTATTTAACCAGAATTCTAACAGTTCCCTTCATTTCCTCAAGGATTCCAGAGCCATGTTACGATCTCTGGGTATCTATACCCCTGCGCCCAAAAGAAAATTCTACCACCTGCACAATGGTTCAGGACTCCCCAGTTTTTCCACCAACAACCCTATAAACCACCTTGCGAGTGACAGAAGACCCAGAGATCCCGTCCTCCGGGACCATCTTCACAGCCGTCAGCATCACATGCTCATTTCTCTCGGAAGCGATACTTCTGAATGCACCTAGAGAGCCACCAACCACCATGCCTCCTGCCATGCACCTGACCTACCCCCTTCGGGGTGGTCTAGCACTCTTTTTACCAGCTTGGAGTGCAATAACAACAGATGTGTGGGTCCTGGATGATGTTCGACATGACTATACAATCGAGTTCACAAAGCTACCTCATCCACATCCCCTTCCCCAATCCCCCGTCGGGGACCACACCCATGACAGCATACTCACTCTAGAGGTAGACTCTTGACTGCGGAGAGGACTGATAGAACACATTCCTCTGAACTATCAGAGCGTGGGGTTCTATTCCACTTATTTCTGGTACCCAAGAAGGACGGGTGGAGACCAATCCTGGACCTCCACCATCTCAGTTGCTTCGTCTGCAAACCCAAATTTCATATATTCACCTTAGCAGCCATCATGCTGGCACTAGAAAGAGAAAGAGGCATGTGGTTTATGGCTCTTGATATGTAGGATGCCTATTTTCACATAGACATCCATCCAACCCACAGAAGGTTCTTGGGATCACGGTAGGCCCTCAGCACTTCCATTATCAGGATCCTACCATTTGGACTTACTGTTGCTCCATGGGTCTTCACCAAAGTTTTCTCTGTGGTAGTGGCCCACCTCTGGCCTCAGAGCTGTCCACCATTGGAGGAAAGAGAGCACTTTGGGGGATTGTCAGCAGAAAGTCCATGGTATGTCACTTGAGTGAATAGACTCTCTGGAGCCACAGCTGAAGACAGTGAAGGTGGTGGCCAAGGAGGGATAGGCAAGTCCTGACCAGAACAGAAGGACTGTTAACTAATTGGGCGACAAGTTCCTGCAGGATCTGGAATCTGTCCCTTGGCAGGTAGGCTCATGCTGAGACCATGTTGATAAAGGTCCCTATGAAATCCAGGGACTGTGTGGGCACCAAAGTTGATTTTTCGACATTTACACTTACACCCAGGGAGAAAATGAGTCTGAGTAACATGGAGGTCGAGGCTTGAGCCACATCTCTTGATCACGCTGCTAGTAGCCAGGCGTCAAGATAGGGGACTATAAGGACCCCATGTGCTAGATGTGGGCTTCTGGACAATGCTGTGAAGATGGTAAACTTTATAAAAGCTCATCCCTTGAATTCCTAAATCTTTTCCACTCTGTTATGAGATGTGGAATGAGCATGTCAATCTATCGCTCCACATGGAGGTTCGATGGCTGTCATGAGGTCAGGCCATGGCAAGTTTCTTGGAACTTCACTCTGAGATCAAGGTATTCTTTACAGACCACTCATTCCCTCTCTCTCACTATCTGCATGATTCAGTCTGGCTTTCACGATTGGGATACTTGTCATATACTCTCGCCTGAATGATCTAAATCTAGGACTTCAAAGGCTGTGGGGTTGGAGTTATGGAATCACTGATAGGATCACCTATTTGAAGTCGATGATGGAAAAAAAGCTGGAATTCTGGGCTCACTGAGTGAAGGAAAACAACACTGACATTTTCCCAAACATGCATGAATTCCTGACAACAAATGAATTACAGTTGCAGGACAGTGTTAAAGCTTGGGAGTCACCTAATTGGAATTGATACGAGCAATCACTCGAAGAAAAAATGGTTACTCACCTTCTCATAACTGTTCTTCGAGATGTGTTGCTCATATCCATTCCAAAACTGCCCGCCTTCCCCTCTGTCGGAGTAACCGGCAAGAAGTAACTGAGGAGGCGCCAGGTCAGCAGGGTCATATATTGAGTGCCATGGAGGTGCCACTCCAGGGGGCTCCACAGCCGACCCGATGGGTGCTGCTAGGGGAAAAACTTTCTGACAACTATGCACGCAGTGTGCACACACCTAATTGAAATGGATATGAGCCACACATCTCGAAGAAAAACAGTTACGAGAAGAGGAGTAACCATTCTTTCTTCAAGATGTGTGGTCTCTATCTGTATTCCAGTTCCACCCTCCATCTCCTCTACTGTGGATCTGTTTGATTTGCAGTGGAGAAGGAACTGGAGCATGGTTGATCCAGCCAGCCCTTTATCTCCTCGAAGGAAACTATGAGGTGAAGCAATGGCACATGCATGGACCAACGGACACTACTACTTTCAAATTCTCCAGCTTTGGACACGTGGTGCTCATGCGTAAACCCTCAGTGGAATACAGATAGGGACCACATATCTCAAAGAACCTCCAGTTACAGGTAAGTAACCTCCTCATCTAAGGCCTGATCCTGCAAGCTGCAGAGTATCTTCTGTGAGGTGCTGCATGTCCTCAATTCTTACTGAAGTCAAATCACATGCATGCTCAAATCACTTCCATGCACATGAAGGGACATTGTGCATGGAAGTCAGTGGAAGGTGAAGGTATTCAGCGCTTTATAGGTTTGGATTTACCGGTTCTATGTTTGTTTGACTTGATTTGGCAACTTATTCCACACAGTTTCTTCCTTTGTGTGATATAATCCTGCTAAACAGCTATTGAGGAGCCTCTGAACGATCAGATAACCTGTCTCCTCTGTTCAGGTTCTGACACAGTGCCACTCACCATGGAATCTGAGCACCTTCCAAACGTATTAAAGAGAACACAAGGAGATCTCTTCAGAGCAGAGCATCTGGTTAACCTCTGAGAAATCCCTCTCATGTAATTTTTTAAAAACCTTCATTAGATCTCCTCTATTTTGCCTCCAGTGTGAATAAGAGTTTTTAATTTTCAAACCAAAGTTAATTGTGGTTGTCGTAGCATATTGCAGACTCTCTCAAACTTGGGGTTAGTTATCTGCTGGTGTGAAGGGGCACAGCTGTATGGATTTCAATGGGTCTGAGTCAGTTTACACCAGCAGAGAATCTGTCCCTCTGACTTTCTTTCTGTTTGAACTTCTGATACTGTTACATTGTAAAACATTTTTCCCCATTCCAGGGGCTGTGCTGTTTCCATGCCTTTATTAGTCTCTCTAAAAAACTGATAGCATGCTATTTAAAGTATGATTTAAAAGGTTTTGAAAGTGATTGCTGGCATTGTTGGTTGATTCAAATGGGCATGTGTGTTGTATTAAAATTACTTTCTGTTCTCCCCTCCCACCCTTCTCTTAGAGGTCAGCAAATATATCCATTCCTATGTGTTAATGACTTCATGAAAGTAGCACTGTCCAATGGAAATGATAAGATTGAGTTACCTTATGGAATAAAGAGAGCAGGTAAGTATTTATTAGGGATGCGTACAGTATTAAATGTAAGCTATATCAATGGGTATATCTACACTGCACACTAAGCCTAGATCTGTGGGACCCAGGCTTGTGAACACCAGTGTTTCCAGGCCTGTACTTGAGTGTCCACATTGCATTGTACACCTGGGTTTACAGTTGATGACCTGGGTCTCACAGCGGTGCTAACATGTCCATACCACATTATGCAGACCTTCTGACTTGGGTCTGCAGCTTGACTATATCCACACCGCAAAGTGACAGGGCTTGGACCCAAGTCTGGCTCTGACATACCCCCTAGTAGGATCTTAGGACCTGGGTCCTGAGTGCTTGCTGACCTGAATCAGACTGATTTGTGTGTGGAGGGAAGTGGGGCTTGGACTCAAACCTGAGTCAGAGTCCAGGCTTAGTGTGCAGTGTGGACATCCTTAACATCAATTATTAAATGGATCTTTACTTTTTTTTATTCAGGTACAGTTCTATATAATATATATACACACTACTATTGTTAGAGAAGCAGTATGTGGACAAGGGTGATCCAGTGGATATAGTGTAGTTGGACTTTCGGAAAGGTTTTGACAAGATCCCACACCAAAGGCTCTTAAGCAAACTAAGTAGTCACGGGATAATAGGAAAGGTCCTCTCATGGATCAGTAATGGGTTAAAAGATGGGAAACAAAGGGATAAATAAAAGGTTAGTTTTCAGAATGGAGAGAGGTAACTAGCTGTGTTCCCCAGGGGTATGTACTGAGACCACTGCTGTTCAACATAGTTGTAAGTGACCTGGGAAAAGGGATAAACAGTGAGGTGGCAAAGTTTGCAGATGATACAGAATTACTCACGATAGTTAAGTTACAGGCAGACTGTGAAGAATTACAAAGGGATCTCACAAAACTGGGTGACTGGGAAACAAGATGACATATAAAATTCAATTTTGATAAATACAAAGTAATGCACATTGGAAAACATAATCCCAACTGTACATACAAAATGATGGGGTCTAAATTAGCTGTTACCACTCAAGAAAGAGATCTTTTGGAGTCATTGTGGACAGTTCTCTGAAAACATCCATGCAATGTGCAGCGGCAGTCAAAAAAGCTAACAGAATGTCAGGAACCATTAGGAAAGGGTTAGATAATAAGACAGTAACTATCATAATGCCACTATGTAAATCCATTGCATACCCACACCTTGAATACAGCATGCAGTTTTGGTCACCCCATTTCAAAAGAGATATATTAGGAATAGAAAAGGTACAGAGAAGAGCAACAAAAATGATCAAGGGTGTGGAACAACTTGCATATGAGGGGAGATTAAACAGATTGGGACTTTTCAGCTTAGAAAAGAGTTGACTGAGGTGGGATATGATAGAGGTCTATAAAATCATGACTGGTGTAGAGAAAGTAAATAAGGAAGTGTTATTTACTCATAACACAATGACTAAGAATCACTAAATAAAATTAATAGGCTGCAGGTTTAAAACAAAAGGAAGCATTTCTTCACACAACACACGGTCAACGAGTGGAAATTATTGCCAGGGCATGTTATGAAGGCAAAAATTAAAACTGGATTCAAAAAAGAATTAGATATGTTCATGGTAGGTAGGTCCATCAGTGGCCATTTGCCAAGATGCTCAGGGATGTAACCCCATGCTCTGGGTGTCCCTAAGCCTCTGTCTGCCAGATGCTGGGACTGGACAACAGGGGATGGATCACTTGATGACTGCCCTGTTCTGCTCATTCCCTCTGAAACACCTGGCATTGGCCACTGTCAGAAGACAGGATACTGGGCTGGATGGACCTTTGGGCTGACCCAGTATGGCTGTTCTTATGTTCTTGAATTCTTATGATGTAGCGAGACAAGAGTCAAGCACTACTAAATTCTCATCCCAGCTTTGCCACTCACTCACTGTGTGACCTTGGGCGAGTTGCTTAAGTCCAGACGTTTAAAGGGATTTAGGCATTGCATGTGCAGCATGACAAGGCCAAGTGACTTAGACAGCTAAGTCCCATTTTCAAACATGATTTAGGCATTTGTAGCCCGATTTTTAAAAGTGTTTAGGCATCAAAAGATAGGCACCTAAACACTGTTTAAAAATCTGGAAGGAAGACAATGGGATTTAGGCTCTTAGGTGCCAAAATCACTTGGAAATGGGTCATAAGTGCCTTGCAATGCTGACTGGAGCAATCCCTACATACCTTTAAAATTCTGGGCCTTAATCTCTTTGCGCCTCAGTTCCCCATCTGTAGAATAAGGGTAATATCCTTTCTCTACTTCATAGTCATGTTGGGAGGATGGATTCATTAAAGACGTTGAGGCATTCAAATGCTAATGATGATCAAAAGCCATTCAGTTACCTTAGATAGATAAAATGGCTAACAGTGGACCTTTTAAGATGCCATTTGCGATTCTGGTCCAGGATTCTAGTCCACCATATTTACTGTATTCATCTGTGTCTAATAGTCTCAGATCTGTAGTGTCTGAACATGAATCCCATTCTGTTCTTAGACCCAGGCATGCATGAGGGAGGTAAGGCAGCTGTTTATCCTGGAGGAGCTGTAATAAAACTGTATTGTGAACAAACATACAGTCTTAAATTATGGCAACGTTCTGATTCTATTTTCTGGGCAGACAATGAATGGACAAAAGCTTTTCTAGCTAAAAATGCTGTGGTCAAGGTGACAGGTTTCAGAGTGGTAGCCGTGTTAGTCTGTATCAGGTATGTTTATTTCTGCACTGTGAAGCACTGACCACTTTCATTTGAAACCCTTTTTTCACTTTCTGCTTTCTAGAGAGTTATTTTCACCTAGCCCTTTCAAGAGTGAATAACTGCGGACTATTCAGTGAAGATGATGGGTGAGGTTGTTTTTTGTTTTTGTTACTGTTCTTGTGTTTTACAGTGTAACTGTCAGTCAGAAAGTGAGATCAGTGGAGTTATTCTGGATATACAGTAGTGTGACTGAGATCAGAATCCGATCCACTGTATTTTATATATAGTATATATGAATGGTCCCACTGTATAATTAAGCCCAGTTTTAAATTCAGGTAGGGTCAACATTCAATAATTATCTTCTTGTGGGCGAACTTAGAATCTTGATTTTGTTCTGAAGAGGGTTCAGTGCTTTAGGGGGTTGCTAACTGAATATGGGCCCTTTACCCTTAAAGTCTTATTGACCTTAGGGAATTGCAGTTACCCCTGAAGCCCATATTATGACTTTCCTATTGAAAAGTCTGAGTGTAGGCCAGCCTAAGAAGATTTTAGTGCCAGTTCAGAAGGCAAGGTTGAGGTGGGTTTTCAACAGGTCACCAACAGTGGCCATGTCTATAATGGGGAAATTTACCAAAAAAAGAAAAAAAAATTAAAAAAATCTAGTAGTTCTAATACAGATTCAACTTCATTATTATGTGCCTAGTCTCTTCCCCTATGTTGAGCCCCGAAAGACTGTCTCTGGCAATCTAGTGATTGATAGGGAATGGGGATGGAATGGAACACACTCTGTGGATTGCTCATTGACTACCATGTATTAGGTTTTAGCCTTTGAGGTCTTCTAGGTGGACACCACTTTTTCTGGACTTTGATTTCTTAGTAGGGTCGCATATTTTCAAACTAGCTAACCACACTCAATCACCAAGCAACATACACGTCATTGTACCCCACACACCAAACAAGGTGCAGTTACCATATTTCTGGTTAAGGTGGAAAGTACTACATAAGTTTTGATACAAAGAATATCAATGCTTATTGTACTTTATTATTTTGTTTATGTCTCTTTGTCCTCAGAGAAATTAAGCTATAAATTATTGTTCTGCATCAGAATGCCAAGGGCATATTTTAAACATACTGCTTGGACTCTGCATATTGTAACTTAAGAAACTGGGGGCTAAGCCCAAGCTTTAGCTTATTTTAGGCCCCTGTTTTAAACACAGGAAAATGGTCATTTTTAACATTGGACCAATTTTTTTCCCCCAGGGAGCTCTCAATTTAAAAAAAAGCCTTCCTATTCTCACTTACAGGTGGTCTGACATCAGGCAGTCTCAGTCAGGGACGTGAGGATCAAGGGCCAGATTTGTAAACTATTTAGGCACCTAAGGCTGCCTGTTCCCACTAGCTTCCTATCTGCATCTTTAGATGCCGATGTACTTTAAAAAAACCTGGCCCCTAGAGACCAGTGCAGAAGCTGCTCATAGAGTAGAGGAGTGGCAGCTACTTAATGGCAGAAGACTTTGCACATTGAAAGAACATGCTGCTGCTCAGTGGCATCTTGAAGGAAGCAAACCCACAGATGTTGGTTCAGAAGATCATTATATTCAGTAGTGTCTATGGTGACTATGTCAAGAGTCTTTTAGTCATTTTGATAGCAGAGCAAAACCAGGTAGCAAAATTAAATTTAGCAATTCTCACTATAGATCAAAAGTAATACAGTGGTTGTTTATCCATTTAATGTTGTTCTCCACTCAAAATTTGGTGTGTGTGTGTGTGTGTGTGTGTGTAATGTTTAGAGGTTTTTTTTCATTTTTGTTGCAGTATTATAGATTGTGTTTGTACTACTAATCAGTAGTGTGGTTACTTAACAGACAGTAGTTTAAATAAGCCTAAATGTGATGACTAGGTGCTATGTATTCTATTTTAATTAATCTAATTTGTGCGGTATGTACAGAGCATGAATCACTATAGTATCTAAGACAGGGGTGGGCAAACTACAGCCCACAAGCTGCATATGGCCCACCAGCCGTTTTAATCCGGCCTCAAGTTCCCTCTGGGGAGCGGGGTTTGGGGCTTGGCCCGCTCCCGTGCTCCACCCAGGGAGCAGGGTCAGAGGCTGCTCCATGCGGTTCCTGGAAGCAGCGGCATATCCCCGCTCCGGCTCCTATGCGTAGGATCAGCCAGGGGGCTCCGCATGCTGCCCCCGCCCCAAGTGCCACCCTTGCAGTTCCCATTGGCTGGGAACCACAGCACGAAGAGCCGCCTGGCCATGCCTCTGCATAGGAGCCAGAGTGGGAACATGCCGCAGCTTCCGGGAGCTGCTTGAGGTAAGCGCTGCCTGGAGCCTGCACCCATGACTGCCTCCCATGCCCCAGCCCCCTGCCCCAGCTCTGATCCCCATCCTGTCTTCTGAACCCCTTGGTTCTAGCCTGGAGCCCCCTCCTACACCCCAGGCCCTCTCCGGAGCCCTCACTTCCAGCCTCATGCCCTAGCCCGGATCCCCCCCCACACCCTGAACTCCTCATTTCTGGCCCCACCCCAGAGCCCGCACCCCCAGCCGGGGCCCTCACCCCCTCCCGCACCCCAACCCCCAATTTCATGAGCATTCATAGCCCGCCAAACAATTTCCATATCCAGATGTGGCCCTTGGGCCAAAAGATTTGCCCACCCCTGAACTAAGAGTTCTGGGTATATGTGTACATGTATATAAGATACTGTAGTATACAACATTAATCATTGGAAAGAATCCTCAAAAGCCCTATGTAGAACAGCAATTAAGTAATTAAACAATTTAGTATTACTGCAATTTAGCCTTGTTTACTCAAAATATACAGTGATTTGTCCAGTAATCTTTCTCATTCTGGTTCAGACTTTGTTTGTATAAAGTGGACCATGGCCATGAAGACATGTACCTCAAATCTGTATAAAAATAAGCGAATTATATGGGATACTGGTAAAACTGTCCAGAGTGAAAAGGGAGGGAAATGGTGTTGTTTTTTTATAGTGATGAAGTTTTGAAATCCAGTCTTAACTGAAATGCATATTTTGCAAAAGCCTATTTTGCAAACCCTGCCTCAAATTAGTAGTCCTACTGAAATCAGTGGAATTACTGACTTGAGTAAAGGTTTGCAGAGTTGAGCCATAGCTTTGAAATGCTGCATTGCATGTACTTTCAAGCATGCCAGTTCCTTATATGGGATACTTATATTCATGATACTTACTTGTTCTCTCATCAGAACTCTTATTCAAATCCTGGCTTCCATTAGCAATAAAAGTAGCTACTATAAATGCATTATGCAATAGTAAACATTTCTTTTCCACCCATCCCTTGCCAAATAGCCTCAAAGAAAATCATATAAACTTCTTCACAGCCTCCTGTTTAGGGAGGCTGAGATGATGCAGTGAAATAGTGGAATGAGTCTTCTATCTATTTGGAATGCCATGCTTAGGAAGGAGCTCTCCCATAGTACTTTAAACTTTAAAGACCTTGCTTTCATTTTATAATTAGTCTTTTAACATTGGAAAATGCAAGAAGAGGCACTTTACAATAAATTAAATATTTAAATTAAAATTAAGTTTTTATAACTTCAAATTAAGAGGCTCCCCAGCATGATAAATCCAAGATTTTGTGTGTGTGTGTGTGTTTGGAGAAAGGAGACATTGCTGGACACATGAGTAACCCAGATATTAATATAACAGAGCAGTGGTCCTTTAGATTTCTGATCTCCCAATGTGTTAGACACAATTATTTATCCCCTTCTCCCACTACCCCCTTTTTAAATGTGATATTAGTAGACAGACAGTACTTGAGGTTCAATTTACAGTAGTTATGGTTAACTCAGAGCACACTTACTGCCAATTAACTATTAAGAGTACTTGCTAAAATGTCCTAGGAATAACTAGCTTAAAAATGGCATGTTTGATACCTGGAGCGTGGTCTTAGCAGCCCATCTGTTTCCATGTCTGCACTGGAAGAAGTTGTCCTTTAATCAGAGTGTCTCTGATCAAAGTCTAGTCCTGTTACAGATGTCTCCAGTAGTCTCTGCTACATACCCAAGGCTCCTATGAAACAGAATCAGGCCAAGAGCAGAACATATCTACGATAAAGCAACAACTATACTGTATAATTTTAATCCATTCGCTTAAACCATTTCCATCATCTCTCAAAAGTAGACAGTGATCAGATACTACTGCACACACTAGATAAGGAGGATAAAAATAATGTAGAAACAATTTGCATATGCTAGACCTCCAGTTGGATTTAACCTATTCAAGCCCCTTAGTATAGGCAGAGCTGAAAAACTGGTCTTCATGATTTGGGCGGTGATAGTTGTTGGACTCTGAGCTTGTGTATAGAACATCAAAGTATAATCAATCCACAAGTGACTTAGGGTATGTCTACACTGAGAAATTAGGTTGAATTTATAGAAGTTGGTTTTGTAGAAAGTGGTTTTATACAGTTGATTGTGTGTGTCCCCACACAAGTGCTCTAAGTGCATGTAGTCGGCAGAGTGTGTCCACAGTACCGAGGCAACCGTCGACTTCCAGAGCGTTATCCAGCAGTATATGCAGCACCAGAACCTGGCAAAGCGATACCGGGCGAGTAGGCGACGTCAGCGCGGTGACGTGAGTGATGAGGACATGGACACAGACTTCTCTCAAAGCAGGGGCCCTGGCAATGTGGGCATCATGGTGCTAATGGGGCAGGTTCATGCGGTGGAACGCCGATTCTGGGCTTGGGAAACAAGCACAGACTGGTGGGACTGCATAGTGTTGCAGGTCTGGGACGATTCCCAGTGGCTGCGAAACTTTTGCATGCGTAAGGGCACTTTCACGGAACTTTGTGACTTGCTTTCCCCTGCCCTGAGGTGCAAGAATACCAAGATGAGAGCAGCCCTCGCAGTTGAGAAGCGAGTGGCGATAGCCCTGTGGAAGCTTGCAACGCCAGACAGATACCGGTCAGTCGGGAATCAATTTGGAGTGGGCAGATCTACTGTGGGGGCTGCTGTGATGCAAGTAGCCAATGCAATCAAAGATCTGCTGATATCAAGGGTAGTGACCCTGGGAAATGTGCAGGTCATAGTGGATGGCTTTGCTGAAATGGGATTCCCTAACTGTGATGGGGCCATAGACGGAACCCATATCCCCATCT